AGTATAGCCCTGGGAAAAGCTGGCTGGCTGAACGGTGGGGAGTTAGCGTGTCTGTACACTACTGTCCCTGGGATGTCTTCGGGAGGACTGAGGAGAAAGAAGGTTTCTTCACTGTTTTTTTAAAACTTTCCTGTGGGTCAACCAAGATCTGGTTTCCTGATGGTGGAGATACCATATATTAATCATTAGAAAATGAAATTTATTGCTATGTTTGGAGTAGAATGGAGGACTACAGGCTTTATATCACCAAAATCCTCCTTAAATCCTCAAAACTGGGCTTGTTAAGATGTGCCTGGGCATCTGCAGTTCCCTGCTGGGCTGCAGCTCCATGGCAATAGCTGGTATGGCTATAGGAGCGGGGTGGGCACATTGCCATCCCTGTACCACTCAATTCAGGGACTGAGTGAGGTCCCGATGGCGTTTTATAGCAATGCAGTCGATTCGGTGTGACACAAAACCTCCCTGTTGCTCAGCCAGGCAGAGCCGTGCGCCCCACGCGTGGACCGAGCCGAGTGCCCGGCTGGGTGAGGAGGGGAAGGGGCTGCTCAGCCGTCCGTCCGCCTCGCTCGGCGCTAGCGCTGTATGGGAACATGCTCAAGGTGTTTGATGTTAATAAGGGGCAGGAAGGCACCAGGTTGGTTTATCTCCAGGTGAGGGTCTGCATCTCTCCGTGCCTCAGTTTCTTCACCTGCACAAAGGCAAAGATGATACTGAGTGCCTTGGAGAAGGGCTTTGAGACCTGCAGGGTCTGTAGATCTGGGATGGTTGTGCCAGTTATCCCCAACAACTTGTTTCAGAGTTAGGAATTGTCCCGAAGTCGTTTGGGGATGAACCTGCGATCCCCAAACCCACATCAACTGGAGATTTTAGAAAATTTGTTTGCAGCTCACCATATTTGCAGTTTTAGAAGGTTTCATTTTGTTTTGCCTCCCCGTAAAGCCATTCCTTTCTCAAGGTTTAATCAGAAAGATTGATTCTTTCTTTAATTGGCATATATTTAAGGTGGGTTTCTTTATTTCTTCCTCCTTTAACTGCTGCCATCCAGAGGCCAACTGTTTTGTGTAAATTAGATATTGTTATTGACCTTCTTCAGCCTTGTTTCATATTTGTCCTCTGCTGGAAAATCAAAGCCTCTTTATTCACGACTTGGTTAGTACTGACTCCGCAGATGGTACATATGGCCCTCAGAGCACTTTTCTCTGGCAAGAACTTGTATTTTAAAGAGAAGAAGATCAGATTTCAGTGTGTTATGTGGTGGGAAAATGCAGCTTTACAATGCTGTATGGATTAAGAAATTACAGGCCATTGTTTTGCCCTCGCTCTCTGGAGCTGGCAGTGTATTTCATGAGACACAGGTCCCTCCCCTGCCACTCGACAAGTGACCGTGCGGCCCCTGGTACCGCGAGAGCATCTTCTGTGTGCCGGGCCAGGCATCCCCCCGGGGTAAATCACTGCCACTCCAGTGACTTGAGTGAGGCAAAGCAGGTTTGCGCCTGGAGGAGCTCTCTCCTTGTGAGGGGTTCACGGGTCCCTCGTGTCCCCTCTTCCCTTGTGCTTTGGGTTGTCACACTGCTCTGTTACCAGCAAGTGTGCTTCTGCTCCAGCCCCTTGCGCTGCCCTCAGAGGGTCTGTGCACACCAGGAGCCATCCCCTTGAGCCCAGGGAACAGTGGCTGGCCCTGTCCCTATGGCTCCGTCAGATGTCACCAGCTGGGGACAGATGCCACGTGTTCACACTGCTCTTCTCTCGGTTGCAGGGTTCCCGGCTGAAGGGTGAGACATGCGGTAGGAGCCAGCGCTTCCCACCAAAGAGTGAGACTCGGTTGTGCCGCACAGCCCAGGGCACCGCAGGAGAGACAGGACATGTACCGCATCGGCTGCATCCTCTCGGGACTCCTCTTCATCCTCAGTGTGACCAGCATGGGCGGCTTTGCCCGGGCAGGGTAAGCCCCCTTTTTGCCTGCAGCTCCCAGGGGTGTCTGTCTGCACATCACGGCGAGGCCCGTCCTCTCGGGGTGATATTCTCTGCCCGTTCAGCCAGCCGGCCACACGTGCCTGGGCAGCCGGCTGGACTGGCGAGGAGGTGGGAAAAGGCTCAGCCGAGTCCTCCTGGGGCAGCCGGGGCTCGGTAGCCCTTCGCTGGTGTTTGTTTGCTTTGTCACTGAAGTGAAAAAAACCTCTCAGTGAAAATGGCCAGGCTCCATTTAGGTCCATGCAGGGGACACAAAGACGCTCTGGGCTTTTTGTCTGGAAGAGTCAAAAGCCCTGAACTATTTGTGAATTATTATTGTGTCTTTCAAGCACATCCTTGCACAAAAATACGCCCACAATCTTGCTATCAGGCCAATCGAGCTGGGCACATGAGCCATCAGAGGAGGATGCAGCCTCCCAGCTCCGGGAGGTTGCACAGTCCAGGGAAAACAGGCATGGAAAGCCCTGGCGGGTTGTTGCCTGCCGTGGCCTTTGCGCCCCGGGCTGCT